ATTATTGTAATGAGTGATAAGAAAAAAGAAACAAACAAATCTCCTCCATCACGTGCAGATATTGAAAATGCACAACGTCGCGTTGAACAAATAAATGCGATTAATAGACGCAATGTTTCGCGACAATTTGTTCCATTGTTGCCAAGGCGTAGTGATAATAATTCGGGCAGTAATCATAATTCAAATAGTGTTGATAGTAATCGTATTCGTACAGTGTACAGTAGATTTACTCCCTTATTTCCGCGTCGTTGTCAACAATCTGACAATGGTCAGAATTGTAATGTGAATCGAGTACGTCGACAGTTGTTTCCTCCGCGTGATGAAGAACATTTAAATCAAGAACAAAGTGCATCTACAAGTGTTAATTTTGTTTACCGTCAAGATCAATCTCAAGAAATAATACCCACGAATCATCAACAGTTGTTTCCTCTTCAACAAGACGCACATTTAAATCAAGAGCCAAATGCATTGCCAAGTTTCAATTTTGTTTACCGTCAAGATCAATCTCTTCAAGAAGACATCTCCGCTGATCATCGACAACCTGAGCAACCTTTTCTTAACGACGAAAATACTGTAATGTCAATTAATGACAATTCTCAGCCTTTTATATCAAACATCAACAATGACGATAGAACTTTGTCGTGGCAAAAAAATTTAAATCTTTTAAATATTGAATCAAGTGAATCTGGCGATTTGGGTGAAGAAAATGAATTTCAACGCTGTCCAATTCCAAGGAAGCGATTTAAATTAAATTTAGGCAGTGATAAAAGAAGCGAAAAAACAACAAACGAAGCTGAAAATGAAAAAAACACGCCAACAGAGAAATTTGAATTACCAAAATCGTTATCGACACAAAAAAATTATGCCAACGAACCACAACCGTCAACAAGTAAACAAGCTGATGTACAAGATGCAGTTTCATTTATATCAATGGTCACAAAGAAGTCAATGAAGAAAACTACTGATAAAATACAGAATACCCGTAAAAAGACTCCCAAAAAACAATCATTGAAAAACAAAAAAGAAACACCTCAAAAAGTCGATAAATCATCAACAACAGCAGTAGACGACAACGACGATGATGATGATGATGATGATGATGAAGATTTAAAACTTCAAACAAAATTTACGATAAAGACTGGTTTTTCTGATTCTTTTTGTTGCTGTCCAGAACTTCGGGATTTGGTAATTAATCAAGTGAAAGTGCTATCGAGAATGACTATATTGGTTACAATTTTTATAAACTTTGCACTTCGTCATCCCACAAATGATTATTTACGTAAAATCTGGTCCGAACAAGGTCCCGATTATAATTCAATATTTCCGTTGTTTAAAGAAAATTCTACAGAACCAAGAACTGATGCAAAAAAAGAAATGCATAATAAATTGAAAAATGAATTTATTCCTCAGTTTAGTGAGTTCATGGGTGGCAAATTTGAATTATTTAATTGCACAAATCTCTCTTCTCAAATACAGGAAATGGCAATTCAATTAAATGTCAATTACTTGACAAATCTTCATTATCATGCCAGGAGTCGACTTGCTACGTTCTTCAAACATGAATTATTTAAAAAAAACAAATCTACAATGAAATTGAATAAAAAGGAAACTACAGAACGCCAACAGGAGCGAACAAGAGTTTACCGTGAAAAAAAATTAATTCGTAGATTACGTAACAAGAAAAAAAGGGAGAAGTGGGCAAAAAAAAAGAAAAAAATAAAACAACTGTATCGAGAAGAAAGAAGAGCAAGACGTGCTGAATTAGAAAGGTTACATCCCTATGAGCCGCATGTGGAAAAATTAATTTTTAGAAACGTTAAAAAATTAAAACAAAATCGCGATATAATACAAAGACAAATTGTTTATGATTTACCTCCAAAAGGCAAAAATAGAGGTAAAAAATATCGAGAACGTTTAACATTAAAAAAAAACAACAAAAACTGGGAAAAACCATCACGTAAGAAAAAATCATCGAAGCCATCGACAAAAAAAAGTAAAATTATTAATTCTAAAGAGGCCACAAAAAAAGTGCAGGACAATGAAGAGGAGGAAGAATTGAATCATAGGAAAATCATTAAAACAAAACTTGACAATCTTCTCAAATACAATGAATGTGATAATGAAACTCTGAAGGCCTTGAATTTGGAAAATTTGGATTTTCGAGATCTTAAAAGAAGAAAGGAATGTCACAAATTTTTTATATTTTTTCATCGTTTACAAGATTATTTTGCACGTGAAGGAATCAAAAGTTTTATTCTTGTACCAATCATGAGTCCTGGTCTAAAGTACATTACGTACACGAATACGGCGTTAAAACTGTTGGAAACTGAATTGAAAAAAGTAGCACCAGATTATACATGTACTAAAAAAGCACCGGAAAAGTTTACCGTCAATGAAATTACAGCACAAGAACTCATGCACAAAGACATTATTTCGCCATTAAAAGAAAAATCAAAGTTGCTGCATGCTGAAAAAATTGGTTTGGAAAGAAATTTTCAATATTTGGAAAAAGCAAATAATCCAAAAAATTCAGAAGAATTGTCAAACATAAAAAATCAAATAAAAGAAATTACAAAAAAATTGACTCCAATCAAAAAGGAAATACAATTGGAGAACAAACGACATCAAGACATTAAAAATCAACGACGTCCGGAGAAAATTAATGAAAATGATGAAAGATGGAACAACATGTTTGACATATCTAAAATACAAGTCAACAAAGAGAAATTGAAATTTTCCAAAACAATAATGACGGATGGTGTGGCTGTGTCTGTAATTTATAATCTTGTTAAACCAAAAAATATAACAAATTTTTCTCCTTTACAGCAACAAGAATCGCGAGATTTAACAAAATATGAAGTGTTCAAGGGTCTTGACCCAGGTTTGAAATTTGGATTTGCTGGAGTAGAAAGAAAAATGAATGATAATTTCGATATTAAATGTATAGATAAACATATAAAAATTTCTACAAAATCTTACAGATGGCAAACTCAGGAGAATAAGAGACAAAGCATTCTTTATAATGAGACAAAAAATTATAAAAAATATTATCACGATTTGCAAGTAAGTGAAAAATATCGTGACAAAGTAAATCACAAAGATCCTCAACAAATTTTAATATCAACAGAATATTTATTGACAGCGCTAAAACGAAACCAACCTTATTTTGAAAAACGAAAAATAGCGGCTTTGAAATGGGACAAGTACATGTCAGTACAACGTGAAACAGATCTCTTAGCAAATTACATGGTTGGCGATGTAAAGAGGAAACAACTGTTGGTGATTGGATCACCTGAAATATCACCATGGATGCGTGGCCACGTGCGGATGCCGTTAAGAAAAGTTGTGAGGAGATTAATCGAAAAGCAATCTAAATATCCAAATTTACGAATTGTTTTTATCGATGAACATCGAACCACAAAACTTTGCAGCACTTGCAACGAAAACATGGACATTTTCAGAAACAGAACAGCTTATTGTGCATCATGTAAAATCTCATGGAATCGTGATGTAAACGCGGGTAGAAACATTTTAAATTTGGGACTTGTGAAATTGGGAATAATAAATAAAGAACAATTGCCAAATTGGAGTGATTTTCGAGCGTTAAAAAATATCCAAGATTGGAATGAGTAGGGGGAGATTTGTCTTTCCAATAGTCTTCTCACTAGATGAGGGGTAAAGGGGTTAGTTTAATACTGACTCTTTTTTACATGTCCGTAAGGACGTAGGGAAAAGCGAGGCAAAGCCGCTAATGTAACTCTATTTTTTATTTCATTATATTTTCGTGCGGTTATTTCAATTGTTTTTCAATTTGAATAGATGGTAAAGTAGATATTTTAATGAAACAGTGGAGAATCTAATTCAAAATGTGAGGTTAAAAATACAAGTAATGATTATTTTTTATAAAATATCTCAAATTCTTTTAAAAAAATGTACTAAATACTTATGTTTCAAAGATATTCGGCCATTTACTGCAAGTTCGTACAGTTTTAACGGCTACAATTTTCTTCCTTTTAAAAATATAAGCAAAAACGTCGCTGCCCCGCCATAAGGGGCAAAGCCGTTTTTTTGCATCTTCTTGAAAATAATTAAATTAAATAATCATGCTTATAATAAATTAAAGAATTAATATTAAAATTTGTTGTTAATTAGTTTGAAATTAATTAGAAAAAAAATCACGTAAATTGATGGTGTAATAACGAAAATATTTAAAAATAAACGTTACATTAGCGTCTTTGCCCCGCTCTCCCCTATAACTAGGTGGTGCAGTGGTAGATTTATAATTAACATTTTGTACAATTAGTTTTGTTTTCTTTAAAATATTCCACACTTTCTTCACACACACACACACATATGGTGTGAATAAAATTAAAAAATTATACTTTTATTACATTAGTGGACGTTCAATGGTGCATAGTAAAATCGATACGATTCTAATAATATTAATGATATTATAAAAAATTATGTAAAAAAAAATAATTTCAAATCTTTATTATTATATCAATTCTGGTATCTGGTGCAGAAACGAATCACGAAGAGAAGATAAATTATTATATTAATATTTTTTTAATTTTTATAAAAATCAAAAGAGAAATTTTTTAATGTTTTTTGCGAGATTAAATATAGTATAGTATAATATATATACATATATAATTTATAAAAATAATGAGAACTTTTATGAAATGTTGAATGCAGTTATAGAAATTTTTCATTTTATACGAAAACTTTCTTTTTCGAAGTGCATCGTGCGTTCGTTCCTTTGAAATATGACCTTGACCTTACAATATTCTACCTGTTCGCAGGTAATCGGAACTGGTCCCAATGTACCTTTGCAAAAAATGATGGGAAAAATTTAAAGAGACCTAAAAATTTTTGTAGTCATCTCTTCTCATTTCTTTTATTTCCGTATTTTTCTTTTCAGCTTCTACGATTTTACTATACTATAAATTACCAAAAGAATTCATGGAATAATAAAAAAAAAAAAGGTGTTCTATACTCACCGTTCGGACAGGTGAAGACATTTGTGTTCAGGACCTGTAACAAACATGAAAAATGATTTAAAAATTTTCTACCTTTAACTATATAAGTATATATGTATATCATAAATCAAATGTTTAATTAGGGAATTTCTTTCGCTTTTTAAAAAACAAATTCAAGTCGTCATATTTTTTTAAAATGATGAAAGAAAATTTACAAATGTTTTTAAAAAGGTTATGTTATTTATTAAAAAGTTCATAGAACTTGAAACAACAATTAAATTTTTTTAACAATCTTTTTTTAATTAGTAAACTTTCTTTAACATTTTTTTCTCAACAATTTGTAATAAAATTTTCTCCCAAGAAAGTGAAAGATACAATTTATTCTTGCAATTGAAATCAAAATAGGAGACCGCATTTTCAATGGCAGTTTAACCTGCTGAACGTATATAGAGATATATAACGGTTACTATATACAACATTCTTATGGACAATGCTGAGTTCGTTTTGTGCCAAGAATTTACGATTGTGATAACAATTGTATATGTAGTGAATCGAATATTGTTAAAGAAAATATTCCCAAGCTTTATTTTTGCAAATGTTTTTTGAGATATTCTAATCTATAAAAGTATAAAAAATATTTGCTCACCTTTATTTAAAGTTTGAAAAAATTAAGAAATAAATAAAAAATATAATGAAAATTAATAAAAAAAAAACGAATGAACTTAAATTGCAAATATTGATAAAATCATAGTTCCCTCCCTGTGACATCTTGCTGAAAATATTTAAATTGAAGCAAGAAGGCGCGCACAGGACTTGCTCGATAACATTCACTGTGCTGTAGTATAAAATTTACAAGGGTACGTGAACGTTTTTCTTCGATGTGTGTGTAAAATGTTTAAGTTTCTATATATATGTTTGCGTATATAGGTGCGTGCAGAAACTCACTTTCACCGCATTTATGCCACATCTCGCGGGTAGCGAATAGTTAACTCTTTTCAAAGATGGTATGTCGATTGCCTCGCAATCTTCAAGACTCTAGTTACCCAAGCCCACGATTACTAACAATATTCTACCGAGATAGAGAGAGAGAATAAAATTTATGTTGCCAAGGGAAAAATTTGTTTTATTTTCCTCCGTTACTCTCATAACGGTTATAAGTGTATATATACAGTGATTCTTTCAACGATAACCAATTTAATGAAACCAATCTCAGATTTATATCAATTTATACTATTTCATTCTTATCTGACAAAAATTCTTCTTTTTTTCTTTTTCGTTTTATTATGCTTCGTTGATGTTTTGTATTTTTACTTCTTTTTTTAGAGTTGAAAACGAATACGAAAAATAACGTCTGATAATTATTAAGAAAATATTCTGATTGGCTAACCTAATGGAAGTAATTCAAATTAACCAATGAAATTAATTAACCGGCTTTATTGCAGGGCCGGCTCTAGAACGAGTCAGTCGCCCCTCTGGTGCCAAAATTAGGTTAAAAAATAATTTTACTACAAAAGTACTCTGTTTCATATAATATTAATTTAATGATAATAAATCCGGAACTTATTGTTTTTGTTATAGTTATTGTTATCAATGAAAGAGGAAATAATTCAACAACATTACTTTTGCTTTCATTTATTTTTTGACAAAAGAAAAATGACGTAGAAAGTGTTAGTGGAAGTCATAGAAATGCAAAGCAATTAAAATTGAAAATTATATTACAAGGTATATTGACCGGACATTGTCTTTACGGTTGAATTCGCAGTTTATAATAATATCTCTCTTGAACCTGCGCTAAATAGGAAATTTTACGAAATTTTATCTCTCCGACGAGTCAATAGAAAAGTATCATGGAAATTAAAATAATTTCCAGTCGAGTGACTATATGTCAACATATATATATTATAGTATTCGCAAAAGACACTTTCTTGCAATATCAACTACTACATGTATTTTTTATACAAAACAATTATATTATTATTATAATTTGCATATATCCTGCGCGTTTCAATAGGATTATAATTTAAATTTTGCAACTAAAAAAAATCACAAATTTCCCTGCAGTTTCTATGGAGTAAAAATTAAGTAAAAATATCTACAAATAATAATTGTTAAAATAAAAATAATAATTTGTAATAAATTAAAAAAAAATGAACTGCAATGAAATATTTTTTTTTATATAATAAGGGGAAAATTATCTATATATGAGATTGCAATTTCCTTTCTGTGTTGCATAAAATATTTATTGCGGACGAAGAGATTTTTCTTAATAGAAGAATTTTCGCACTTTCCATTCTATCAATGACGAAGGTGTGGTTTTTGTGGCTGTTTCGCGTGTCTTGTATGCGGATGCCTACGACTCATAATATTGTAATTCTCGAGGGAGATTTTTGTGTGGGTTTTATATATTGCATACACACAAATTGAACAATATTTCTATCTATATGTTGACACTCTGTTGAAAATGTTAGATAATGTATTAGAAGAAAATTTTATTTTATTTTTATTGAAACTTTTTTACTTGCACGACGATCTCATAGTGTATGGCATAAAATTAATTAAATATTTGTATATAAATGTGTACTGACCTGAGACTCCGTTACTTGAAGATGGCACAAGAGGACGGCGACCCAAACGACCGCTAACTCCCTTATCAACATGTTTCTGAAAAAATAAATAAGTTTTTTTCATTAAAAAAAATAATCAATAATATTATAATAAATATTATAGGCAAATAAAGAAAAGTGTTTTTAAAAATAATATTTGTGTTAAATATTAATAAACTAAAGTTAATGAATAAATATAGAAAGAAGAATTAAAAAAGATGAAGTAAAAGTAGAAGAAGAAATAGTGAAGAAAGAATAACAATATGAAGATATTAAAGAAGTTGTAAAGAAAGAAGATAAAGTTAAAGAAGAAGATGAATGAAAAAGTAGAAAAGGAAGTAGATGTTAAATATGAACACTGAGAAAAATATGCTATTGAATCAACAGCATTTCTGCCAAAGGTATAAAAACTATTGATTCAAAAGCATATGCTATATAAAATCTATAAAATATTTTACAAATTTTATAGCACTTGCTTTTGAATCAATAATTTTTATACCTTTGGCAGAAATGCTATTGATTCAATAGCATATTTTTCTCAGTGAAGAAATATTTACATTTTTTTATAATTATTATACATAATTATAAAAAAGATTCCAAAAACTCTATTTGATATTATTATATGTTATTATTCATAATTGAAAGCAAATTATTTTCAAATATATAGAAAGTTTATATATAGAAATCAATATATAAAGTACCAGAGATTAGTAGAAAGTTTTGCTTAAAAAAAAGTTTTCCTCCAACGGAAATCTATTATATTAATTTTAAAAAGACGATTCCCTTATAGATATCCATAGAAAAGTATATTTCTTTTTCCCCACTGAATTCCAGAGATAATTCAATACAGGTTTTTTTAATTCCCAAAATTGAATTGAAAAGTGAAAACACTATAATTTTCATCGCAAAAAATTGAACGTACGCCTAATAAGAAATTTGAATTATACAATTGTACAGTAAATAATTCTCATTATTTATTTATACATATATTTATTATATCTATGGATAAAGAATATTTGATATTTAGAAATAAATAAATTTAGATAAATATTAAAGAAAAATTTTAATAAATTTTAAAATATCCGCTTCGTGAATATTTTGTAAATATTCTTTAAGAATAAATGATGATTCATTAGAAAATGATTATTTTTTTTAAAAGTGAGAGGATAGGCTCGCCATATGCTCTAAATGTTGAGAATTTCATTTCCTGTTCAAGTGCGGATTACGTTTAGAAAATAAGTACTCGAGAAGGTTCACTTTTCGCGAATTTACGTACCTACATATATGTAGTTAAATAATATCACAGACTGGGAAGAAAAGTTCTATACATTCTAGAGTATATAGTATAGTGCAAGCAGGAAAAGTAACTCTAGCATAATAATATACGACTGTTTATAATCTACGTAACACTCTCAATAACGACTACTATATACTATTCTTTAACTAAACTACCAACGGTTTTAGTATCTAAAAAATAATTATTTTTACGATTATTTTAACTCGCACTTTTACTTTAAATGACAATTTATCAAAGTTCCTCTTGAAAGAAAAGATAAAAATTAGATTTTACACGGTGTTTTTTTTATTACATATTCATTATAGTTTTTATTTCTGGAAATTAAAATTTGTTGCAGTATAAAAATAAAAAATAACAATAGCAGCATCATTTTTATTTTAGTTACAGCAATATTTTGGTTTTTGGTTTAGTAACAATGTTATCATCATCATTAGCATCAACAATATCAGCATGAACAAAAAGTTATTATCTTAATGTAACAAATATTTACTACTATAGAAGAAAATAATAGCATATTTCGAATTTATTATAGAGACATATATCGAGTTTGTTCTTTTGATTAAATTATTACCGATGCATGAAAGAGTAACTAACCTCGAGGCGCAGAAAAGTTGGTCGAAACAATTGTATATGTACGCCATTGACTCTAACATGGCGAATATAATAACCGGTTACCCGGCGTGCACTGATAGTAATTGTGCAGTAATTTTGACCGAATACAGTCGATTCTTTTGAGTACCATTTGAGAATTAAGTATACCTGACAAAGAATATAAACTTTACTGTATGCAACAGAACTTTATTTCTTCTTCTTCTTCTTCTTCTTCTTCTTCTTCTTCTTTTTCTTCTATAAGTATTTTTATAATTAGCCAAAGAACTCTCTTCTTTGTAATATTTGGATTGTTCAGAAATGTTTTTTAGCACATAAGAAAATCATCAACTTCGATCATTATTTTCAAAGACTAAAATATAGTAACGGTAAAACATCACATTTTATCAGTTGCAAGACGAATTGGGAAACAAATCGAATTTTTGTTTTTTTTTAAACAGTTACTTCTCGAAAGAAAAACAGAATTTCTAAAAATAAAGAACAAAAGAGATATATATTGTAAAAGACGATCTCAATGCACTTATAACAGAAGCGAAAAATACTCTTCGTTTCCTGAATTATTTCTACGAAGAAATTTATCGGAATCTCATTGAATGTGCGCGAAAGCACGCGGAAACGACGAACGTTTACCTTGAAAATCTCTGCGTTTCACCATAAATTCTGGTGGATTTTGCTTCAAAAGCAAATTGTGATATTAGTAGTAGCATTGGAATCTGAAGAGGATTTGTATAAATGCAAGATTTTTTATATGTATACGCACACGTCCAATATATATATGTGAATGAGGAAGATGAATATTTGAGATACCGTTAGTCATTGTAGGCTATTTACAATTATCAGAATCATATAAACACAATTATAAGAAGACCTTCTCATTGTTATTTATAAAGAAGATAGCTTTCAATATAGATAATTTAATTACACTTGTATAAATAATTTGCCATATGTAATTCATTCTCTTTTAGAGAATCGTAGAATTTCGAAAAGTAAATTGTATGTATGTAGTATAGTTATTTAAAGTTTACAACTGTAAATTTTTTGATTAAATTTATAATTATTAATTTAAATTGGTTATTATTTTAGCAACAGTTTAAATCTCTTACAAGGATGGGTAGTCCAGTGGTCAGAGCTCCCGAACTTCAGTTTTAAAACAGAGGTTCGATCCCAGGCGGAGATGAGATTTTTCAAAGTCCACAAATATTTCAATTGGATAAATACAAATTCAATGTTAAATTGATAATAAATAAATAATGAAATAAATAAAAAAGATAAAAAGAAAAGAAATAAGAATTTGGTTGACTCAAACAAATAGTTTTGGTTGCTTAAATACCAACAAAATTTTTTTGTTGGCCCAACCAAATTTTGGTTGCTTTGACTAAACATTTTTCTCAGTTTGTAGAATTAGTAGTAAAATCAGCGGCATTATGGTAACCTATAGGAGACAATAATGGTACTTACAGTGCAATTGATCATTATAAGCTATATAGAACTGTCTATAATCCCAAAAGAGAATTGCAAACTTATTAAATCAGGATATTACCCAATTTATAGAGGATTATGAAAAAATTTACCAACTGAAATGCAATACAATGTGGAAAATCATCATGAATAGGAATATTAGAAAGTTTTATTGTATACTCTTTTTGGGTTGCAAGTTCCCAGAATCCGTTAACGGAAGAGAAACATTAATTATGAAAAACTTTATAGGAAATTGAATACGTAATCAAAGAAAAGAAAAGGTTTTTCCTCAAGGATCATCTAAATCAAATATCAAAAAAATGCCATTGTCATGATGAATTTTTTGCTGTACACTTTTTGCTCTTTACGTTTCCTTTCTTCAATTTTCAAATGACTTCTACATCATATGTGTAATAATCAGAAGAGAAAACAATGTATTATAATACGGAAAAACAATATGACAATTCGTGTTACACAATAGTATATACTTGTGCATAATTATACATATCTGGATTATAATTAAAATATAATGAAATTACAGTCGCATTCTAAATGTATATAATATATATATGTATATGAAAGAGTCGTCGCCCTTTTTGATTTACCCAATTTTCCATGAATGAATGTGATCCACGAGATGAACAATGAACAATAATAATTCTCAAACGAAGGTAGAAAACATTTCCCACGCTTTACAGTGTAAACACATATACACACACACATCAACATATGTTACGCGTCGTGTATATATTTTGAAGTGAATGCTCGCTATGTAGAGTTATTTCTAATTATGTCACCCATTGTTTTGTCGCGAGCTTTAATTCAACAGAATGAATTTCACATTATAAGAACGTTAAATGATAAACCGATTGCTCAACTTCAAACTACACACGCGCAATTAATGTTGTATTCATTTACATCCAAATCTCTTTTCCCTATATACTGTTGTCGCATTTTTGGAAAATTAATTATTATTATTATTCCCAAATTATATAACTGATGCGAAATAATTGGAAACTCCTTAAAAAAGTCTGTATCGGTAGGGACTCTAAATCTGATCTATAATTTAGGATAGACCTATAATCAAAGGATAACGTATAACTTTTAAAGATGTGGATTTTCTATGATACAATTATATACTATTCATGAATGTTTAAGTAATAAATAAAAAAAATGTTCTTTGACCTAAAGCACACATATAAATATCGATAATATCTACCATTTTTAAATGTATGTTGTGTGTGCTACATAGTATATATACATTCCGGAGTGAAATTAATGTCGCTAGGGGAAACCACAGGAGACCTTATAGTACATATTTAAAAGCAAATCCTCATATTAGCTTAAGGTAGAAATATTCTCGAGTTACATACGTGTGTGGGGTGTAATGCGCATTCAAGTCAACCGCCTGCAACATGTTGCTGTGTTGTAATAAGTGTCGTTTGTACATATATATGATGCAACGAGAAAAGAAGGGGGCAAATTCGAATTTTTCGTGGGAATATTTGAGTCTTAGAGTCCAATTCTGGATTAGAAAAAAACACCTATTATTAACGAATGAAAGTTATGTATACCCATCACGATGATGATGATGATGATGATGAGGAATCTACCGAGTTTTTCCATTAGGTAGCATTTTATGCAACAACCCTATTGTCTTTCTTTGCAGTTGCGCTTATAACTAGAGCAAAACC